GTGTGTGTGTGTGCGCTCGCAGACATCAGTGGGCACCAAATGATGTTGTGGCCCCTCAGACACTCAGCTGTGCTGCTGCTCTCAGAGACTGGACCCAGAAACCGCAGCAGATATAGGAGGGTTATTGGTTTTATACAATGACTGTGGGAAATGGGAATATGGTGCTGGCTGTTATGCAAGTCTCCTCCTCACACTGTGAATCACAGTGCAGCAGCTTGATTGGTGCTGTGCAGTTCTCAGGTGCCCGGGGGTGGATGAGTAATAATAATGTTTCACATGGAGAGCCAAGCATGGGGGATGTATGGGCCACTAATAATGCCTCAGTCCCTCTTGCAGCGCACACACACACACATACATACATACATACCTGGAGCTGTCCTGTCCATGTTGGAGGACAGGTGAAACTTCACATCACATGAGAACGTGGAAACACTTTGCAATCGTTACTGTGCCCTTGTTCGGCCTTTTTTTAAAATTAATTTTAGTAATAGTAACAGAGTCAAGAATGTTTTTCTCTCATTCATGAAAAAGCAACAGATCTCACAGGACATGTGTTTGAAGCTTTTAATAGACAATCTATCTGGCAGTCTTTCTCTAACAGAAAGGTTAGCTCAGTGGTTTGCCACTTGTTCCAGTTTGTTAATTAACAATGCATTACCCATTTATTTAATAGACTACCTGAAGGTGTCAGTTTACCTTGACAGTGTGTCATTCGTGATATGTCATTTAGTAGTCAAATTCACACTGTGGCTGCTGTGGTATTCTTTGACCTGCGCTGCTGTAGAGTTTGAGTGTGTGTGCTCTGGTTAATAATAGACACCAATTAACTGTGTGATAATGAGGCTGGGTAATGGAGGAGGGAATGTTCACTCTGTGTTCAACTCACTTAACATGGGAGGCAGTGGATGATGGGAAATCGTTGTGTACATTATGCACTGGAATACAGTAATTGTAGATTAATAACAACAATATTTATCCTGCAACACCTAACGCACTTGTTTGGATGGGATGTAGGCAGGTATGGTAACAGGTTAATTAACCTGGTGTTGGTTGTTTGACTTTTGTTTGATTTTGTTAGGATTGTAAAAGTCCTGATTTTGTCTGGTTTTATCTCTACTTAGTGTCACAGAGCCCAAAGAGTGAGCTCTGGATTGTGAAACGGTTTCTGTCAAATGTACTCAAATGTGTCAAGTCTTGAGAAGCAAGATTTAAGTTTTATCACTTAAGTCTTAAGTGAAAATAACAAACCAGGTCAGAGTGTTTACACAGTCTGGTGCCAATTATATAACTGGAACAAAACAAGTGGCTACACCTTGACTGTGTTTACTAGATATTAGTGTAATTTATGATTGTAATTAATCTGTTGATTATTGCTGAAACAATAGGGAAAAATGCCCATCACTTGTTCAAAGACCCAAAGGTCTTCCGATGGCTTTATAACAGTCCAGACTAACAAATGTTTTACATTTTTGCCTGATGAATGACGTAAAAATAGTTGCAGATTAACTTTCTGTTGAGTTATTGTTTCCGCTCTAATGACTGGTTGAGTCTAGTGACAGATTGTGTTATTTTAGCTCTGTGGTTTGATAGTCCCTTGATGTAAGTGCCATGGAGTGTAAATAGTGAGTCTTTGATTGTGAAAATGTAGAATAACAGACCTGGTTATAATAATTAAAAATTCTGGAGACATCATAATATCTGTATAAAATGAGAAGATACACCCTGTCAGTTGACCATTCACATGGTAGAACACAAGCATTAAAACTCTTTCCATGATCCGTTACTTTATTTCTGAAGAAAATAATGAAAAATGTCACCATCACAAGTTCAGAGAGCTAAAGTTCACATCTTCACATCGGAGTTCAAAGCACAAAGATATTCATTTTACAGTGATATAAAACAAAAAGGATTACTCAGTTGTTTTTTTACTTTTATTTACACACACAAAAGACTGCATTAAATCCAGAGATGTGTCAGGAGACGAAGCCACAGACTTACACAACGGACCTACCCACCCTTAAACAGAAAAACAAAAAACTGTTGACAATTCATTCTTGTTGATTAACTAATTATTCCAACGCTAGTGGTCGTCAAGTCGAAGTCAAGTCTCAAGTTATTCTCTTCATATATCAGGTCTCAATGTAATAATCACTCGTCTCTTTACAGTCTTTCTGCTGTGTAACAGCTTGGAAACTGCTGCTGCTTCACTCTGAAGCAACCGATTGATCGTATTGATGGAAGTGTGAGTACAGTCAGAGTTACCTGTGACGGTTTTAGTGCTTTAAGACTAAAGAGTGAGTTAGTGGTAAGCTGACCTCCAGAGTGACCCTCCCTCAGCTGGGGAGCAACGACAGCTCTATCATCTGTAACTTTAGACCAGTGGCGACCGTTGTGCCAATAAAAAGGCTCAGCGCTGCTGTCCAGATGCCCCGATCCCGTATCGATGAAGTGCAATCGCCGTCTGCTTGGTGGCACTCAGGCTGCACGCTGATGGGACATGGCGAGCAGCAGCTGGCTGCCCAAAGAGTCTTAAATGTTCTCATGGATATCTTTTACATGGCAACAATCACCCCATTGTTGTCCCCGGACTCTCCTAGCAACAAACAGAAGAAAATATGCATCAGCACTTTTTTCACAGCAATAGTTGTGGGCTGCAGCATGGGTGTGTGTGTGTGTATTTGTCTGTATTTGTGTCCAAGTGTATGTGAAAGAGAGAATGAGACTCCACCTACTTTAACCTCCGTTACTGTAAGGACACAAAGAAAGCCATTGAAGGGATCAAAGTCTTGGTGATTGAGCCGGACTGGAATTTAGAGCACTGAACCACAACTGTTTAAGCTGCTCAGGGAGCATGCAGGCATCGTAGTGTCTGCAGCTCCTGCATTTATGTTGTGTATGTGAGTGGGTGACCAGAGACGGAGAGTGAAAATGACCAGAGATGATCTGCTTTGTATAGATGTTGTTCACGTAACAGAATCGGCAGTGCATGGCATCGATCTCTGGACTGTGTTCGTCACACATATTGAAAACTGTCAAGTACTGAAAGTTGGCATCAAAGGCCTAGTGACATTCATTGAGTTGATTTAAATTATAATCTTGCCAACTTCAGACTATATTTTATTGCACAGCTGTCTGTGTTTAGAGAGCGTTTAACATTTGAGAAGTTTGCAGTTTTTTGGCGTCTGATCAGCCTTTAAACACATAATCTGTTACTCCAACTGGACTTGCTGGATCGTATTTCACCAACTCTGTGAGGCTGTACATAGGCACAGCAATACTTTGAGCTAACTCAACACTTACATGCTTGATTCTTAGCAGGTATAATCCTTAGATTGTTCACTGTCTATTAGCATGCTAACTATGGTAATTAGCTTTTAACACAAAGAGGCTGATGAGAATGTCATTCACTTTTCAAATATTTGGTCAGAAAGCAAACTATTGGACACACTTAAATGCTCTGATTTATCGGCCAAACATCGGTATCGGCCAATATTTGCCTAGTTGATTGACATCAGCCTATCAGCAAATAAGATGGCATTCACTGATGTCAGTGGCCGAGGTTTATCTGTTGTGTTGCCGCAGTTATGCCCAGGTTAAATGTTTTGTTAATTATTTCCAACTCAGATATTGGAGAAATAATCATCTTCGTTTTCCAGCACAAATTGGACCTAAATACCGATGTGCTCCGTGCAGCAGCACAAACAGTGAGCGGCTGTTCAGCTCTCCATCTAACATCTTGGATAAGAGGAGAAATAGACTGAGGTGCAACAAGGCAGGGATGCTTATCTCGTATGTTATTTCCTACTTCCTTAGTTTCCCTGGCACAAAGGATGAATAAATAACAACAAAAACATTGGCACTGGCTATCAGCAAAATGTTATTTTAAACATCGATATTGGCCCAGAATCGGTGCATCCCTACATTTAAATTTAGACATGATGTCATTAGAGCAAGTCAGGGGAGCACCAAAGCTGTTACATTTCATGCTGAGGGGAACATGAACGTCTGCACCATATTTAATGGCGGCCCATCCAATAGTAGTCAGCAGACAGACCGACCAACAGACCGTCATTGACGTCCCCAGAGCAATGCTGCAAGCATGGTTTAAAACATTATGGTGTTGAAACTCGGATGTCATTTCAGCGCTAGCATCAATAGATTGCAAATGATACACAGCCCCACTCATATCCTATGATGAATACCATCCACACAGTCCCATTGTATACGTGTGTGACTATAAATGTACGACATGTCCAGTAAAGCATACAGTTCGGCACAGATTACAGAGTTATTTGTGGTCATTTTCTGTATTCCTTAATTTGATTGCTGTCTCGTTCTCTGCTGTGACTGTCCGGGCCGATAAGTGGATGTGTGGATTTTCTAGTGACTGGCGTCCATCCTGCTGCCTGTCTGCGATGCTGCGGAGGAGAGGCAGGTTTTCATCTCGGCAGCCTGTTCCATA